AAACAAGTGCTAACATTAGACTCAGACAGTGTCAATAAAACAGTGCTAACATTAGACTCAGCAGTGTACAATAAAACAGTGCTAACATTAGACTCAACAGTGTACAGTAAAACAGTGCTAACATTAGACTCAGCAGTGTACAGTAAAATAGTGCTAACATTAGACTCAGCAGTGTACAATAAAACAATGCTAACATTAGACTCAACAGTGTACAAGTAAAACAGTGCTAACATTAGACTCAACAGTGTACATTAAAACAGTGCTAACATTAGACCCAACAGTGTACATATATAAAAATTCTATAAATTTAAAATATTTTTATTGAGATATTTTGTAATTATGAGAAATTTTATTTTCAAATAATTATTTAATTGATTAGAGTGCATAACTAAACAAAAACTTGTCCTCGGTTGTGATAACTATAATTTCATTGTATTTTCAACATTTATGGTTTTAAAATTTAGATATTTATATCCAGTGTGAAATAAGTAACATTCCAGAAAAATCTTAGACTTCTCTATTTATACTAGTCATAAAAGAAAACCAAAGACACACAACTTGTGAACAGTGAAGTCTTAAATCAGTTTCACTCTACACAAAAAAAGACTGTTTTTAGAAAAGCTACGTTTAACAATATTGAAAAGCCACATATATATATATATATAAAAGTTATTACTGTAGCACGTGCAATTGAAACTGGAATTTAATATTAGCTTCTTTTTTTTTGTCTTCTTTGATCGTACAACTTTGGAAGGTATTTGAAGTTGTGAGTCCCGTATGAATATTGAAAACAGATATTTCTCAGTGAGTAATTGATGGTTCTTAAATATTTCTCTACATCTATGTGGATTAACTGGACAGAAAACTTTAAAACGTACTCAACTTTCTGTAATGTTTTATCCTGAACAGGTTAGTGCTGTTTTGAATCGTGAATATATATATATATATTTAATATATTTTCTTGAGTGTAGTAAAGCAAATATGTTTGTAACTAACACTTCCAGGTGTTGTATTGATTAAAATTATTCTTTACATGTGTTTAATGAAATAGATACACCAACATTAATGAAATTATGTGTTGCTTGTAGGTTTCAAATTCTAATGGACTACTCCTTGAGTGGTAGCACATGTCAGTCTGTATGCATAGAGACCAAAACAAGAAACTACCACATGTCAGTCTGTATGCATATAGACCAAAACTAGAAACTATCACATTTCAGTCTGTATGCATATCTATATGCATACAGACTGACATGTGGTAGTTTATTGTTTTGGTCTAAATGCGTACAGACTGACATGTGGTAGTTTCTTGTTTTGGTCTATATGCATACAGACTGAAATGTAATAGTTTCTAGTTTTGGTCTATATGCATACAGACTGACATGTGGTAGTTTCTTGTTTTGGTCTATTACAGACTGACATGTGGAAGTTTCTTGTTTTGGTCTAAATGCACGCATTTAGACCAAAACTAGAAACTATCACATGTCAGTCTGTATGCATATAGACCAAAACAAGAAACTACCACATGTCAGTCTGTACACATACAGACCAAAACTAGAAACAACCACATGTCAGTCTTTACGCATATAGACCAAAACTAGAAACTACCACATGTTGGTCTGTACGCATATAGACCGAAACAAGAAACTACCACATGTCAGTCTGTATGCATAGAAACCAATCCAGAAACAAGGAGAAATTTCAGTCATACAGTAAAGTAATCTGTGGTTTGTTTCACAGTTTGCTTTTGTTCTGTAATTTTTTACTTGCTTTAATATATCATATAAAAAAATATCTGAAAGTTATTTTTGTAACCAAAGTGTTCATTATTTATATAATCGAGTGTTTTATTTTACTGATATGTTAAACAGTACTTGCACAGTTTTTTTCTGATTGTAAGTTTTATCTTTGTCAATGCCGTTTTGTTTGTTTCAAATAAATGGTTCTATTTCATGATGATGGAAGAAATGAAAAAATATTCATAAGTGCAATTACATCACAGGTTACAGACGTAACACAAAGTCAGTTATACTGTACTACGGCCAGGTACGCTCCTTTTAAATGAAATAGGGATGATGATGAAGTTCAAAGGTCAATTTGTTTTTACCACAGTTTTAAAACTGAGAGTTTTGTACTTCTCTTGTGGTTTATAATCTGTCTGTATGTACAAGTATCACTTTCTGTTATTTTGTCAATCTAAGAAGTGGATCTAAGTCAATCTAAGAGGTGGATTTCCTTGTTTTTCTACCTGTCATTCTACTGTAAAAACTAGTATGTACACGCCATGATTTTTAATAGTATAAACTGTAACTAGTAGTTTTGCCAGGACAAAAAAAAAGTTCGGGCCTTAAGTTGAAATTCTCCTAAAAGTTATCTTACAAATAAAAAAAACTGTGGTTTAGTAAACTGATTTTGATAAAGACTAAATTGAGACTTTGTAGTGATAAGGAACCTTATGGTTTAAGTGAAGTTGCAGGTGTTTTATCTTTCAAATTGGAAAAATAGAAAAAGAATTTTCTACATTTTGTAACCTTTCAGGTGTGTGAGATACGTGTCCGTCCTGGTGAATTAGACTATGCTACTACAAGTGTATAAGATTCCTACGTCTTAGGTTGTGTTTAGGTTGAGAACCTCTTTAAGTGAGGTCACAACCAAGGATAAATCACGTAGGAAGCCCTAGCATAACCTGTTGGAGACCAAGCTTGCATCTGTATCAAGTCTTCTGGATCCATGTTGGCTGCTCCATGTGGCCAGAACATCTGCTGACCAACCAGAGGGGTCAGATTTGTTGCTTTTTCTAGCCCTTCTATAGTTTTTGCAAACCTAATGAGATGTATACCGGAGACTCAACATCGAACACCGGTCATTTCTGAATGGATGGATTGACCCCCGTAAAATGCTTACATGGATGTACTAAGTCAGTAGTTTGACCACGGAGCTACTTCTCTGGTGAATTAAAGAAGCAGAATGTCGTTGAAACTTCTGTATTTATCATATTGACCTACTTTAGTCTTCGTTATATACTCCAGATGTCTTCATTGATTTGGGTGATTGTCCATTTAGGCCTTGTATGTCATCGGATACCTGTTGTGAGATGATGTCATCGGGGCTCCAGAATGCATGGAAGAAAAAAGTCACCTCCACTGTAGAAGCAGTAGGGTTTGGAAGTTTCCAGGTTCTCTCGAGGACCAGCTTAGTATTCAAATAAAAAACAGCCAATCACCTGGAACTCAGATTTACAGTCTTGAGTAAGATAATAATCTTGAAAGAGCTAGATCTGACCAACACCTTCCATGACACCAAGTGTGATGTGTGAGTGTGTCCCATTTACTGTAGTGTCTTTGGGTGTTATAACGTGCCGACCAACACCTTCCATAACACCAAGTGTGTTGAAAGTAATCCACCTAAGACTGTCTGATGTGTGAGTGTGTCCAATCTACTGTAGTGTCTTTGGGTGTTATAACGTGCCGACCAACACCTTCCATGACACCAAGTGTGTTGAAAGTGATCCACCTAAGACTGTCTGATGTGTGAGTGTGTCCAATCTATTGTAGTGTCTTTGGGTGTTATAGCGTGCCGACCAACACCTTCCATGACACCAAGTGTGTTGAAAGTGATCCACCTAAGACTGTCTGATGTGTGAGTGTGTCCAAT